AAAAAAAAAAAAAAAAACTAATTTAAAAACAAAAAAAAAGTTAAAAAGCCTAGTTAAAAATTACATTTGGGTTTATAAACTAAAAAATGTAAGTGCCAGTATCAGCATTAATGCCTCTAAGGTTATGTTGTACCAAAAAAATTGTTTTTTTCACTCTCAGAGTGTTTTTCATGAACTTCTTGTAGAAGCACTTTTGTTATTTTTCTTAATATATTCGGGCAAGTTGGCGTTTCTTGTTAGTACATTGACATTCATTTTTTGCCATCAAAATATTCATATTTTTGTTACAAGGTAATAAGGTCTTGTCCTGGTTTCCAACACTAATGGCTTGAAATTGTTATTTTTTAAGTATTTCACTGAATAATGCAAAGTGATATTTGTTTTGTCATTTTTTCCGCTTAGTCAAATCAAAACTAAACAGAAAAACACGTGGTTTATTTATCTGCGAACGCTTAAAAGTTGTGCATACTTGTTATAAGGTGTCAGCTTTCCAATTGTAATGGGAATCTGATCAGCGTCCATGAGCTCCGCGTTGACGCAGAGCCTTTCACCCCACGGTCCACTGCTGAACAGCACCACCTGGTGGACAGATGATGGAACCGCAGCCGACACACTGCGAGTCCCCTTCGCTCTGACGAGGTAAAAAACGAAGGAAATCAACACAAGATCGAGCTTTTACCTAAATAAATAAATCTCAATAGTTACTAACAGGTGTCCGAAGTATTGTCTGATATAGAATGAATTAAGGAGCAATAAAAAGCACAGCATAACAACACACTGTAAAATAAAAACAAACATGTAACCTACGTCAGGAGCCTTTGAGGGGGACCGTTTAACCCAAAAATACCGTAAATTCCAAACTCATCCATCTTGGAATCTTCCTCAACTTTCCGCATGAACTTTACCAAGGTTTAAAACTACTTAAAACGCCGATGTTTTCAGCCTCTCCCGCCACTGCTGCCTGTAGGCCTTCTAAATTCCGCGCTAGTTCTGGTCAAATGGCTAGGTTGCACTCGCTTTTTTGATCAGCGTATCCTTTCAGGAGGCGTGCGCGATGTCGAACCCCAGTGACAGCCTGTGATCCACCCGTGCTGCGCACCCCGACAAATTTATCAAGCTCACCCCAGGCGGTGTTCGGCACCCTCCCTCTGTTATCAGGGGAGACGTTCAAAGACGTTACACAGTACGTTTGTTGCCAACCGCCAATAAATCCAACAAGAAGAGGAAGAAGTCAAACAGCTGTGTTGTTAATGTTGAGAAAATGTTTGAACGTAGTTAAAATGAGATAAAAGAAACACTCATATTTATGTTATGTATAAATTCAAAAGATTCGATCCTAAACGCTTAAAGCTAAAATATATTTCATTAATTTAAAAAAATAAATATTTTATATATACATATAAGTTGTCTTTTTCACACAATTGTGAAAAAGGTATAAAACCAAGAGGTTCTATATGACTTTTCGATTCGTATTATTCGGTCATCTTTTGGACAGTCTAGAATTTAACATAATTTACATCAGCGTTGTAAACTGGAGCGTTGATCTTGAACGCAGCCCTACGCAAACGGAACCTTCGCAAAGCATTGTGGGATTGGATGCCGGCGAAAGCTTCTCGAAAGAACTGCCAAGATGATGGTGAGTGAGTTAGCATCGAAGCCCCAGAAATCAACACATAATCCGTGTCCATCCTTTAGTTTATCGTTTATTTTTCACATGAAAATGTATCCGGTTGTTTGTACCCGACATTCAAATGAGTCAAAACGATGTTATTTTATGGAAATAACTTATAATAAGAAGTAATTATAGCCCAGTGGGTGTTAGCATCCTGCAGTCAATGGGCGTATGTACGGGAGATTTCCGTTAGCTTGTTGCAGATAAGCTATCTCAAAAATAAATAACCGGACTATATTTTTCCGATTTCTATCATGTATTTGCTTTGATATGTTATAACCGGAGTATTTGGCCTACATTTCACTCGTTTAATTAAGATTATCCCCGTAACGGTTGCTTCTTTGTCCAGTTGCCTTGTAATGCTTGTTTAATGCAAGTTTGCTTTAGTGTGATTTTTCCAGGAAATTTGTTTTGTTGTGAAAGTTGCAAGCTGATGTTTACAGAGCTCTAAATACTGTACCAATATGTAAAATCTTTTCATACTGTCATTAAATTATTTTTGCCACCCATGTTTTTCCATATTTGGTGATATATTGCCAGCTGTATTTTTGATTTCCTTTGTTTTTCGCAGCCCACACCGGTTATCCTGCTGAAGGAGGGGACAGACTCATCCCAGGGCATTCCCCAGCTCATTAGCAACATCAATGCCTGCCAGGTCAGGGAATCTGTCTTTTATTTCCTATTGAGGAAATGTAACAAAGTATTTGTTCATCCCATCACAGCTGACCATCACATGTTCACAAAGTTGATATTTGTTTGGTATTATCCAAATACTAATGCTTTAAAATCAAAGTAACATGGTATTTATCTTAAATAAAATACTCTTAAACGATTTTAACATTACAATCTCCTTTAGAAAATTTCCTCCAGAAAATATACTGATACAGCACAAGAAGACAAATAAACGCTGTTTATATTAGACAAGTGAAAATGAATTAAAACGGGAAAAGTAAAATGTAGGCTTAAAATTATCTTACAACCAGGAGGCACGTGCAAATTAATAAAAGGGGACCGTAGAAGTTTGTTTGCCAATAAATTGAGACGAAATAAAGAGCATTAAAATGACAAGAAAGGCTAATTCAGACCAAGTACACACATAAAAAATAAATCAAATGTCCAATACTTATTCTTGAAATAAATGTGAATGTTATTAATGTCCAAAACGAAACAATGTAATAGCAATGAAACTACTCACTCTCTGAGAATACAATCAGTGTTCTCTGTCTACAAACTAGCTACGCCACTTTGTGTTGTGTGTAAGAAACACAAGTGTATCCAAGTTCTTTGGAAGGAGAATGCTTCTTGATCTGTTCACAATAAATCCTGCTTTGGAGACGTTGCTTTTGGATGGCGTGGATGTTGCAGGGATGCAGAGCAGTCGCTTTGCTCCAGGCTCGGGTATCTTGTTTTTGTTTGTTTTTTCCAATGCCCCAATTGTCCACATTCATCTTTGGTTTTGTCCTGAAGATGGTTCTTGATTTCTTCTATTCTTCTCCTACCTGATTCTATACAAAACATTCACATCTCTGCAAAACAGCATTGCAATCTCTTCTGTTTTCTTTTGTTCTTTTGTTTTTTGACACACGCCTCTGCTCAACTCCAGCTTCACCTGTGGCTGCATTGCATGCATTCAGCCACCAGCTTTGAGACCTCCTGATTATGCCTTGTCTTTTTTTTTTTTTTTTTTGGCATCGTCCAGAATAGACAGCAACTTCAAACGGGAGTGCACTACTGCAGGAGTACTGTATTCACTCATCATTCGTGTTTTAAACCTCCACCTGCTGTCAGTTTCTCCAACCAGCCTGTTTTTCATTTTTTTTGGTAATGGGACCGTCATTATGCGCAACAGCCTGGTGATGTTTAACTTTCCCAGCATGGGTACAGTTGCAGACAGGGACGTTTTGTCCTCTTCAGACAGCAGCTCCGTCCAGGTTATCGTAGGTTTTAGAGAGCACAAGACTCTGCTTTCCACTCTCCATCAATGAAATTGGCTGTCACTGCCATATAGGACTCCATCCAAAGAGATCTCCACATTTCTGTTAAATTCGCTGCCTCACTGTGTTGTTTTAACTCTGAAATACGGCTGCAACTAACGTTTGCAAATCGATTAATCTGTAGATAATTACGGCGATTTAAAACCTGCTAAATTTTCCAGATTATTCTTCCTTGTAAAGGAGTCATTTAGGAGCCTTCTTTCAGTTTTCTGATAGGCAGTGTGCAGAAAACCATAGGATACTTTGCAACTCCTACCACCCCAAAAGATCTCTCCGTTTAAACTTGTTGAACTATCTTATTTATTTTTTTTATTCTTGTTAAGATGACAAATTTTTGCCTGTTTGAAAAAATGTCTGGAAAAAGAGTTTTGAAGGGTCGCTGCAATTTTCACAGCAATGCTGAAAGGCGCAAACCCGGATGTCAGTCCCAGCGGGAATTTCATAAAGTCCTATTTAATCCACTTCAGGTTTACATTTGTCATCTGTCATTGATAGGATAGATTTGGGGCTGGCTGTCATAGGAGGGTATAAACTGAAGGTATTAAATTGGTTATATGTATTAAGCACTGATCTTGGGTAGATGTTTGGTTTAAACTTGCTGATCAAGGATTAGTGTTTAAAGGCCACTACAAAAGCAATCAGGAGTTATATATGTAAAAAGAAAAACTTAACTTAAATCCTAATATAACACTAAGGATTATTTATCTAATTGATTAAACTGCCTATTTTCTTTGATTGGTCCATAAATCTGATAGGGTGAAGGTCCTTGAAGATTTTATTTAATTAACATAATTATAGCCTGGTAAAACTAAAACTTTTCCACATAATGAGCATATTAATGGACAAAAAAGATTTTTCATCTTGAATGCAAATTTTTATATTTTTCATTTAATACAATGACTGCATAAATCCTGCTGTAAGTGCATTGCTCTGTCGGATAAAAGCATGTTTTTTTGAGTCTATACTCTAGTTATAGTTAATCGATTAATCTTGTTAGTTGTTTCAGCCCTAAAAATTATTTAATTAAAAAGATTTTAAAAATTCCTCAGACTTAACCAACGTCAGGTGAAAGCCACGACTCCCTGCCACAGAAATGAATCTGTTTCCATAAAATCAGAATTTCTGCAGGTAAATGTGGATATTATCACATAGCGATGGGTTGATTTGGCTCTTAGCAGGTTTAATGAAGTTAAATGATTCTAGAAATGGAAGAATTGCTGCCAGAAAAATCTTCTGGCTTCTTCCAATCATTGTATGAATGTCCTATGTGAAGCTATCCTCATTGTAGCGGTGGTTTGTCCTTCTGCAGGTGATATCTGAGGCTGTCAGGACCACCCTCGGGCCCAGGGGGATGGACAAGCTGATGGTGGACAGCAGAGGTGAGGAAAGCTGAATCAGAAAGAGGAAATTACTTCTTTAGTTCTGGGTCGGGTTTTATTTGGCGGGGATTTTTAGCTTCTTTCTAAACTGAGTTGTGTGCGTTTCTTCCAGGTAAGGCTACTATCTCCAACGACGGCGCCACCATCCTGAAGCTTCTCGACGTGGTTCATCCTGCAGCCAAGACGCTGGTTGAAATTGCCCGCTCCCAGGATGCTGAGGTGAGTAGATGTGGGGAGGGTCATACCAGCAGAGGTCATGTTTTAAATTTGGGTCAATTAAAAACATTTTCTCCCCTCGCTGTCGAAGATTGGTGATGGCACCACATCCGTCACCCTCCTGGCTGCAGAGTTCCTGAAGCAGCTGAAGCCGTATGTGGAGGAGGGTCTCCACCCTCAGACCATCATCAGGGCGTTCCGCACCGCCACCAACCTCGCTGTCAGCAAGATCAAAGAGATCGCCGTCTCTGTGAAGAAAGACGATAAACAGTGAGTCCTTTCCAAATGTCAGATCGCTTCCTCCTGTCTGGCTGTGTTCTAAACATTTTCTTTCAAACCCTCTCAGGGAGCAGAGGCAGCTGCTGGAGAAATGTGCCGCCACAGCCCTGAACTCCAAGCTGATCGCCGGGCAGAAAGGCTTCTTCAGCAAGATGGTGGTGGATGCTGTCATGTCTCTGGACGAGCTTCTGTCTCTGAAGATGATTGGGATCAAGAAGGTGCACGGAGGGGGGCTTGAGGTTGGTGCTTACCGCTCAGATATGGGTCAAATATCAGCGCTATCAGGTGTGAGATTAATGTTCCTGCTTCTAATTCGTCGTACAGGATTCTGAGTTAGTCAGCGGTGTTGCGTTCAAGAAGACTTTCTCCTATGCCGGCTTCGAGATGCAGCCAAAACGCTACGAGAATCCAAAGATCGCCCTGCTCAATGTAGAGCTGGAGCTGAAGGCTGAGAAGGACAACGCTGAAGTCCGCGTGAAATCAGTGGAGGTCAGAATTTGTTGCAGCATGAAATTCCTCAAATTGGTTCTTTATCTTTTTTCTTTTCCCTGGTAAACATGTTTCCACAACCCTTTTCCACAGGACTACCAGGCCATTGTTGACGCAGAGTGGAGCATCCTGTACGACAAGCTGGAGAAGATCTACCAATCAGGAGCCAAGGTGGTTCTGTCAAAGTTACCCATCGGGGACGTGGCCACCCAGTACTTTGCCGACAGAGACCTGTTCTGTGCCGGCAGGGTGCAGGAGGAGGACCTGAAGAGGACCATGATGGTGAGACGGTGCCGGCTTTTTGCAGTGGTGTCAGTGTTGCTATAACGACAGTCAACGACACTGACTGGTTTGTGCTGGATGTGGCTTCCAGGCCTGCGGAGGATCCATCCAGACATCAGTCGGCGCCATGACGGACGACGTCCTGGGCGAGTGTGAGCTGTTTGAGGAGGTACAGGTGGGAGGAGAGAGGTAAGAGAGATGAATGACCAGATCTAAAGAAGAAAATGAAGTCTGTTCCTCTTAAAGGAATAGTACACCCAACACATGATTAGCCTTCATTTTCTACTCACCCCCATGCTGAACAACACTCTGGAGTACTTTTTTGATATCTCAAATGCATCTGGAGATCTGTGAGGCTTCTTGCTGTCTGCTGACATTCAAATAATGGAGGTCTGTGGTGCCCGAGACAGAAAGGTCCATAAAAGTCCACAAAAAACGTGTCAATATTCCTCCATACTGCTTGTCCAATGTATTCCAAGTGTCCTGAGTGGGTAGCATCCAGAATTTACTCGAAATGAAGTCATTTAGAATGTTTTTAGAGCATAAACAGTAGTGTATAGGATTTCCTGAAAGCGCGCACATGCGCGTTCATGACGCTACGGAAGCCGGCAGACCAAACCAGATGAAAGTGCGCATTCAGCGTCTGATCTGCCGATAATGCAAGCGTAGAAGAAGAAATGTGCTGTTTACCTGTGCAAAGAAAGAAACAACGAAAGAAAAATGTCTGAGGACTTCAGTGTTGAGGAAGAGCATGAGTTCTTTGCCGAGCTGAATGCGCTGGTTTGGTCTGCCGGCTTCCGTAGCGTCGTGATCGCGCATGTGCGCGCTTTCAGGAAATCCTATACACTACTGTTTATGCTCTAAAAACATTCTAAATGACTTTGTTTCGAGTAAATTCTGGATGCTACCCACTCAGGACACTTGGAATACATTGGACGAGCAGTATGGAGGAATATTGAAACGTTTTTTGTGGACTTTTATGGACCTTTCTGCCTCGGGCGCTGGGCACCTCCATTATTTGAATGTCAGCAGACAGCAAGAAGCCTCCCAGATCTCCAGATGCATTTGAGATATCAAAAAAGTACTCCAGAGTGTTGTTCAGCATGGGGGTGAGTAGAAAATGAAGGCTAATCATGTTTTGGGTGTACTATTCCTTTAAGGCAGGGCTTATAAATGAAATAATTATTTTTTCCTAGCCTGACGTAGTCCGACTCAATTCTAGTCAGAATATGAGTCTGATACTGCTCCATAGAGCTGTGATTATGGGGTGTGTTTTGAACGAACCAGGAAAAAAAATGCCTCTGCACTCAATTGGATAGACCTACAACCAATAAGAGCAACGGAGTGCGTGACGTATCTTAAGCGAGGCATAGTTGTTGTCCACAAAAATCAAAGCGTGCAGTTTCACGCCTAGAATAAGAAGATGAGACTTGATCGCGTTTCTCTGTACCTCTTTTAAAATTAATTTGCTGTCGATATCTTCTAGAATAGACCTAATAGCAGAATCTACTCACCCAAACTCTCCAGCGGCAGCCATTATTGTTGTCACCCAAGCGCGCTTTGGTCACGTGGTTGATAACGTTACTCTTGATCATCTGTCCATCATCGTATAAAGCCCGCCCTGACAATTTGATTGGATCGCCTGACAGTGGGCTTTAATACTCGCGCTACTATGGAGCAGAGCCAGACCGAACTTCCCCGAACTCAAACCTTGTGGGCGGGACTAAGTTCGGACTGGCACCCAGGCTAATTTTTTCCTACTTAATCTGATAAATCTAATTTATTTTCATAATTTAAAAAAACGACAAATAACAGGACTTTCTTTCAAAAATGATCTTTTATTTTAATCGGTCCTTCTGAGAGGGGAGCCTTAATTTAACAGAAAACCAAATCAATCATGTCTGTAAAACAAGCATGTTTCAAAACAACGAAAACAAAACATCCAGCATTGTTTGTAGCTCGTGGTATCAAACAGGAACCTAGTTTATCAGTTAGGATTTCAGATCCAAGAACAAAGAGATGAACTGATGTTACTTTGAGCTGTGAAACTCCAAGGAGTGGATTGATGGAAAATGAAAATAATACACAGAAAATATAGTTAATTGCCCAGGCTTAGTTCCTATTTTCTATTCTGGGAATGGAGGGAGATGATTATTAATTTCCTAAAAAACAAAAAATTAATTGTGATCCTCAACAAAATACAAGCAAAAGTACAAAAAATTTAGATCTGTTTCTTAAAATTCATACCATGTTTTGGTAAACATTCTCAAATGGATAATTAGACTTTAATGGATTAGGTACAAAATGATCACTTGGTTCTTTATTACATATAGAATAGAGATGAGCTCATTTTTTTGTTTCTTCCTTTAAAGCTCTGCCTTACCAATTCAAACTTGTTCCTATCCCAGTTTCTTGTGATAAACCATACTTTGGTGACTTACTGGATATTTGGTTTCTATTCCATCTGTAAACCCTCAGCAGTGGAGTTGCTGATGTTTGTCCAGATACAACGCGCCTTTTTAGGAATTTATACCCCAGAACAAGTAATTATGGATTTGCTGTTAACAACAGTCCTGATTAAAGTAGGGGGTGAAAAAAAACACCCCAAATTGAAACATGGTGGTTGCAGTGTCATGCTGTGGGAACACTCATCTTAAACATTGACCTTATAGAAGGATGACGGGAGCTGAATTCAGGACCATCCTAGAAGCAAATCTCAGGGGGTCAGGATGCAAAAGACTTGAGGGTGAGGTAGAGGTTCACCTTCCATCAGGAACACACTAAACATCTCCATAGAGTGGTCTAGTCAAAGTCCAGACCCCAGTTTTACTTGAGAACAGTTACACATTAACTTGCTTCCTTGACTAATGGCTGTATGCCACAGAGCAGCAGGTTAGAGTTGCCTTAAAGCGTCCTGTGGTTGACCAGATGTCATTTTTATACAACCTACACGTATAACTGCATAACTGAAGTCCTCTCCACTTATTGATTCCTTATTCCATTGCAGCGTATCTGCTATAAAAAGCTGCGGTGTGCTTTTTGCTAACAGAACTAGACGTTGTGGGAAATTTACAATAACAGACCAATTTATTGGTGTTTTGTGTCTGGTGTTTGAATGAACCATGAAGACGGATTCCAGTTAAGCTGCTAGTTTTCTTAGAAACCATCCGTCTGTTACTGTCTGTATGGATGCTATCTGAAATCAGCATAGCTGTTGTTTTTTATTCTTGACGAAGCAATGAGTTTAGTTTGTGACTTTTTTTTCCTTTTTAACCTGCAGGTACAACATCTTCAAGGGCTGCCCGAAGGCAAAGACATGCACCATCATCCTGAGAGGCGGAGCAGAGCAGTTCACAGAGGAGACTGAGCGATCGCTGCATGACGCCATCATGATCGTCCGCAGAGCCATCAAGGTGTGGATTTTTATGAAGTTTGCTGGTGTTTTAGAACAGCTGTAAAGCTCCTTCCTGGACTGGCTGCAGAAATCAGTTTTGGTTATTTATAGAAGAGAAATAGCTGAACAATTCACATTCACAGTGTCTAGTTTCATTTTTAAGGCAGATTGTTAAACAGCAAGAAGAAACACTCTGCAACCAGAGGAATAAAGCAACACTAGAATCCAAAATGAGAATTTGTAGAGAAATATCCAGCAAGATAAGAGCAACAAAGGCTGTTGTATAGTTTAGCTTGTTGGAATCAGAGGGGAGTTTGTTTTTCTAAACAGCATCTAATATACACTCACTGGCCACTTTAATAGGTACACCTGTCCAACTGCTCGTTAACACTTAATTTCTAAGCAGCCAATCACATGGCCGCAACTCAGTGCATTTAGGCATGTAGACATGGTCAAGACAATCTCCTGCAGTTCAAACCGAGCATCAGTATGGGGAAGAAAGGTGATTTGAGTGACTTTGAACTTGGCATGATTGTTGGTGCCAGAAGGGCTGGTCTGAGTATTTCAGAAACTGCTGATCTACTGGGATTTTCACGCACAACCATCTCTAGGGTTTACAGAGAATGGTCCGAAAAAGAAAAAACATCCAGTGAGCGGCAGTTCTGTGGGCAGGAATGCCTTGTTGATGCCAGAGGTCAGAGGAGAATGGCCAGACTGGTTGGAGCTGATAGAAGGGCAACAGTGACTCAAATAACCACCCGTTACAACCAAGGTGGGCAGAAGAGCATCTCTGAACGCACAGTACGTCGAACTTTGAGGCAGATGGGCTACAGCAGCAGAAGACCACACCGGGTGCCACTCCTTTCAGCTAAGAACAGGAAACTGAGGCTACAATTTGCACAAGCTCATCGAAATTGAACAATAGAAGATTGGAAAAACGTTGCCTGGTCTGATGAGTCTCGATTTCTGCTGCGACATTCGGATGGTAGGGTCAGAATTTGGCGTCTACAACATGAAAGCATGGATCCATCCTGCTTTATATCAACGGTGCAGGCTGGTGGTGGTGGTATCATGGTGTGGGGAATATTTTCTTGGCACTCTTTGGGCCCCTTGGTACCAATTGAGCATCGTTGCAACGCCACAGCCTACCTGAGTATTGTTGCTGACCATGTCCATCCCTTTATGACCACAATGTACCCAACTTCTGATGGCTACTTTCAGCAGGATAATGCACCATGTCATAAAGCTGGAATCATCTCAGACTGGTTTCTTGAACATGACAATGAGTTCACTGTACTCAAATGGCCTCCACAGTCACCAGATCTCCATCCAATAGAGCATCTTTGGGATGTGGTGGAACGGGAGATTCGCATCATGGATGTGCAGCCGACAAATCTGCGGCAACTGTGTGATGCCATCATGTCAATATGGACCAAACTCCCTGAGGAATGCTTCCAGCACCTTGTTGAATCTATGCCACGAAGAATTGAGGCAGTTCTGAAAGCAAAAGGGGGTCCAACCCGTTACTAGCATGGGGTACCTAATAAAGTGGCCGGTGAGTGTATATTTCAACAAGAAATTGTGAAACAAAAAAAGTCAAATGTTTTTCTTCAGGGACATGTTGAACATGACTTGCAGCTTTAATTATCAGAGGGTGCTGAATGCATAGTATGAATAATGCCACATTTTCCATAATCCTGCTTGTAAAAATATAGGATTTGACCAGTTGTTCACTACTTTTTGTTGGTTGCTCAAAATTTGAGTCATACCCTCAAGATCTGTGTCCTGACTATGCTAAATGTGAAGCCTTATCTCTTTCCAGAACGACTCTATTGTCGCAGGTGGAGGGGCCATTGAGATGGAGCTGTCCAAATACCTACGCGATTACTCCAGGACCATCCCTGGAAAGCAGCAGCTGCTGATCGGAGCGTATGCCAAGGCCCTGGAAATCATTCCCAGGCAGCTGTGTGACAACGCCGGCTTTGACGCCACCAACATCCTCAACAAGCTGCGAGCAAAACATGCACAGGTAAATGAAATGCTAAGGCTCCCATTTTGTTCTGTTTTTTTCCTGCAGCGGTATTCATTGTGCTTTTATCCCAGGGTGGCATCTGGTACGGCGTGGATATTAACAGCGAGGATATCACTGATAACTTCGTCGCCTGCGTGTGGGAGCCTTCCATCGTAAAGATCAACGCACTGACAGCGGCGTCTGAGGCCGCCTGTCTCATCCTGTCGGTCGACGAGACGATCAAGAACCCCCGCAGCAGCGTAGATGGACCTCCAGGTGGCGCCGGGAGGGGGAGAGGCCGCGGGCGCCCCCACGCTCACTAATAGAACCCTGATGATGTTTAAATCCAAACACAGATACAGGTGGAGCGTTTCTGGACGCTGTTTTTTGTTGATGTTTGAGAGGAAAAACAGCAGGAGTTAGAGAGGCGATGTTCATGATCTGTTTTACTCCAGATTCTGTGGACTTTCTTCTTGCCTTTTTGTTTCCTCTTGTAGTTTTTGACCAGGCAACTAAAACATTTCAGTCACTTCCTCTGCCTTCCTGTAGCCAGTAATGACAGCCGCTTCACCACAGTTTGGGACCCTTCAGGCCAGTCATACATCTGATCTGACAGAGGCGGCCTGTAACCTTCAACCTGGTTTTGTTTAAAGAAAAAGTAAAACTGTTGTTCAATGTGGGCGGAGTTAAAAAGCACTGAAAGGATGTTAAGCAGTTCTGAAACCATCTATGTGAAGCTATTTATTGGACCATTCTTATCAATAAATTCACAGCTGAAATTAAACCGTCTGTTCTTTGTGTTTATGTACAAAGTTAAAACAATGATGCATTTTGTTAGAAATGAAATTAGTATGGAACTGATAACATCTTAAGTAAACAAGGTGCTGCTCTGGTCTGTTTGGACGAAAGCTGAGCTTAAAAGCTCTGAAATTATTGGTCCATTCATGTTTTGATTCTCACCAATCACCATGAGATATTTATCACAGCGCCAGATAAGTGGCTGAGGCTAGCTTTATCTTTTGGGCGGTTGGACTATGTTTGAGATAAGACGTAGAGACCAATTATCTAGGGGGCAGTTGGAGTTCAACTTCTGCTTAAGCCATCTGTCGAGGTTCCAATAAGGCGTCTCCTTTATGGACCCAAAAACCCTTTAGAACTATAAACAGTTTATATTCACTCTAAATACTTTGTCAGTTATTTTCATCTTCTAAATGCTACCCCTTTGTTTCTCTCTTCAAATTCAGACGTTTACATACGATACTGCTTTTCCATAATGACGGCAAAAACTTGTCGTAGCTTTAAGGCATCTGATGGATGTTGGTTAGTGAAGCATCTAAATTTTGCATCGTGTTGCAGGTACGCTTAGCCTGAGAACACTTTTCCAGTAATGAGGTACAATGATAGCAGTATCATTAAATTTTTTTTTTTTAGGAAGGACTAATGCACTTGACAAAACAGATAATATACTGTGTTAAGAATATTAAACCAACATCTCGGGGTAACAGCAGTTAGAACCTGGGCCCAAATGTGTCTCTCAAATAGAAAATGACCCCTAATTTATCGGCTTATTCATCACTAAGAGGCGTAAGAAGAAAGCCACAATTCTATAATAGCCACCACAAAGTACTGGTCTCAGCCTTATAGACAATAGTAAGGAAAGTTATATAGGTATAAACAAGGGAGACTACAAACCCAGTTGTCTGAAAGAAATGGGCCAAAGTGGCAGTAATCGTAAAGTAGCTTTTATAGGGATTTTATTTTTTGGGGAAATAACATATTTTTAAAGATGGAATCAGATATAAGTCCCGGGTTTGAACTCTGGATTTTGCATTTTCTCCCTGTTCATTTGTGGGTTCTCTCCAGATACTCTTCCATCCAAACTTCTGTCCTTCATTTTTGACGTGTCCAACATACGGGGCTAAATTGTATCCCGTTTCTTCAAAGTCCTGCTAATGGCATCATTGTTACATTCATGTATTTTAAAACTTCAAGAACCAAGGCGTTGGGACTAATATTTTACATCACGTCCTTAAAAAACACTTCAGGTGGCGTTCCTTATCCGTGTCTCTCACACAATCACACTTGCTATATCTGCAGAATTTGGACTTATACTTCCATTGCCAACAGTTCTTCCAGTAAGTCAACTTATATACCGAAAAATATCTTTGCAGAACCTCACAAAAATACCATGATCATAAGAGTCTGGGTCAAAGCAGTAGAAAGTAAGAAACTGTTTTGTTTTTCCCTGCCTCCACACACCTAACTTTAATAAATAAGTGATCAGCCAGCCCCTGCAGCTCTTGATGGCTGCTAAGAAGTTTATGCAGTTATTTGATTCAGATGTTCTGGAGAAGAGACAATAAAACATGCAGGAATTTTGGTGGTGAGGACCAGGGTTGAATCTAGAGAGAGATCTTGAACCACCAGCAATTTTTCTTTTTGTCCATAACATTGACTGAGGTGTGGTTTGCTCTTCTAGCAATGTAGAGGCAAAGAGTGAGAGAAAATCACAGAGAAAATCTGTGACGAAAACCAAGATGTGACCTAATATTCTGTGATTTGTAAAAACCCAGTCACTATCAAGAAGAAGGTCCTTAGCCTTTCATGTGTTTGAGCTTCATTATATGCAGGGTTTTTGTTTTTTTAAATTGACAATTTTTCCCCCTTAAAAATGAAACCTCCATCAAAAATAACACACTGTCCTTCATTTTGTAAAAGTGTAATCTTAAGCAGATCATAGCTGAGTAAAATTTCTATATAAAATGTAAAAAAAATGCTTTAAAACACAAACCAGACTTCATTAGGACTAAACAAATCAGACTCAACTAAATATTTAACACCATAGCAGTGGTATGTCGCTGTCAAAAACATTCAAATGGAGATAATGCCACAATCCTTCAGTAAATGCATATATTTTAGCTTGTAGTTTTGTCATCTTACCACTAGATGGAGCACTACCATATTAGATAAAATGATAGTCCAGTAAGGTTTCATATAAGGATTTAAATGAGGTACTGAGTATCATATGAGGATAAAATAAACATTCTAGGTAGTATACTTCGTAGGGTCTATAGGTGATTCATTCCTTGGTGTTGATAAGCAATACCTAGGATAACTCTGTTCCAGCATTTCACTCTTGAATCAAAGAGTCTTCCCATTTCTGTCCAGAGAAAGTTGAACAAGGAAAGTTCATGAAAATGTTTAATGCTGACTGAACATCATAAACTCCGTCTGCTTTAAATCGGTTGTGTTGATTTCAAGTCTCATCAGGCTGCTGCCCTACTTTAGTTGGACAGGAAGTCTATGGAAGCCCGGACAGACCTGTTAGACATGATATCAACTGCGGTGACTTTGATCTCCGTATCTCCAAACTGCATGGTAGCTCTGATCTCCCTCCTTTCTGGCCCAGCCACTACTGCTCCTGCTCCTCCCACCGCTCCAGGTGGTGCCGACGGTTCCGGTAAGTCTAAGGTTATTGTCCCACACTTCCTGACGCCCGGATCAGAGATATAGGTGATATCATCTTTTGAGCTGCAGTAGATGTTAATGATGATCTTTCGCTGGCCCACCCTAGCAGGTGTGTAGCTTCGTCGAACGACCTCCCCGAGAGCCACTGACTGGTCTACGGAGACAAAGCGGTCAAAGATGTCCGTGCACCACTCGCGCCCGTCCTTGATGAGTAGCTTTTCCCGAGGGTGTCGTCCTTCCACGAAGCGGTTGAGGACGCCCACTCCATAGGTCACAGGGCACCTTCGCACTCGGACCTGCGACAGATTGAGCCATTACAACAAGAATCATAGCATTACTCCAACACTAACTTTTATTTTCCAGTCCTTTACCACAGTGGGATCTAGCCCAAAGAGAACGGCACCCTTCAGGATGGTTAGGCCAACATCATGGGGGATGATGATGCGACAGGTCCTTCCCAGTGCTCTTTGGACTGCTTTCTGTAACATTGGTGATTCTGCAAAACCACCAACCAGGAACAGGAAACGGACACCACAGACCTCTGGCTTCCCCATCAACTCCTCTGCCAGAAGAGAAGAAACCCTGTCATTAAACCGTTGAAGAGTTTGACCTTTTGGTTACCTACTATAAACTTCTATGATGCAAAAATCCTGTTTTCTGTCCCCTACCATATTTGCATACTGTTACGCCAGCATCCTGTTAATGTACCACTGGAATGTGGCTGATTCAAAATAAGACATTACCAACATTTTTTGCTTTCCCAACATGTTTTTTGTGCTGCAGTTTTTTTTTTACAAACTAATCTGTATATAGACTGGATGTAGGGAATGTTAACTCCATATTGTCCATCCGTTTGTTTTTGGTGTCTTTCTCACCTATATGTTTGACTATCTTGCTGATGGTGGGCTGGAAGAGCTCATTCATTGCTTCCTGCGTCAGCCGTAGCATCCCCTGAGACGACCACTTCACAATGTTCATACTGACGGAAGGAAAATAAAAACAGATTCTTGTTGAACTTTGCAAACAACCGGCAATAGCATCAGACTACTTCTTGGCGCTCTTCAGCCTCACGCACTTGCTTCTCCTCAGAGCGGCCTCCACGCTCTGTCCTCTGTGTCTCTTGTAGAAGTCAATGAAGGAGAAGGGCAGAGATATATTCAGGGCGTTGGCTCTTCCTGGGGACGCCGTCCGTTTCCTCGCCTCAAAAGCAATCATGAGGTCCACCCAGGCTGCCGGCCGCTTGGCTTTGAAGCTGTGAATGAAGTCCTCACCGAAAATCTGGCACAACATGGCTTCGAAGGCCAAGTCCACCCCGACTGCACCGTATGGACCCCCTGAAGACACTTTGAAGTTTTAGAAATGTGTCCATACTCTTTCTTGTGTCTGGTAGTGAAATAGTATACCTGAGGCTTTGTAGAGCTCTTTAAGGGTCCCCTGTGGCTGTTCAATCTGATGAACTGTCAGGTCAACTGTTCCTCCGCCACAGTCCGCAACAACGTACCTGTCACCTACAGAAAGTCAGCAAAATGTATTTTCTTGTAACAAAAGTTTATTTTTAAGATTTTGCCATTGAGCTGTCAAATCTTTTAATCGTTCTTTATTCTCACTTTATATGTTCTTACCATATCCTTGCTGGAATTTTTACCAATGTACTTCCTTGTCATAAACCATGGTTTTGCAACCTGCAGCAACAAAGCCATGAGTGGCTCTATAACTTCTACAATGGCTCTTAACACTGGCTTAAAATGATGTAAAGAAGCAACTAATGTAGTATGATAAATACCAGCCCCTGAAGCTTAAAACTTTTTAATATTTGACTAAATGTTTGGAACAGAAATATGTTGAGAGAACCAGAAATATATTTTTAGATCAACCTGACTGATTGTTAGCTCAGATTTTTTTTTCTATTATTATTATTCTTTACATCAAATAATATCTTATAGAAGAAAATCCATGCTTCAAATTTATGAAACGTTTTATGTTTTCCCTTTTTTTGAAAGCTGAAGATTAAGATAAACTATTGGTTGTTTGAAATGGCAACAGGCTTCCTAAATCAGCTATTTAACAAAGAAATTAAAAGCTGTGTTTTATTACAGAGTTATAACATATATGCTGCTCTAAATGACTTTTATTCAGCCAAACATTGCGCAAAATGGCTCTTTGCATTTTAAAGAATGCAGGGCCTTGTCTTAAAAAAAAATACTTCCTGTTTCTCCAGTGGATTGGAAAGGTGTTTAACTTGTTGTGTAGGGGTTGTACTTGTGTGTCTCCACAAGCTTTGCTAACATCATGATTAACACTTTGCTTATTATTCGTTACAAAAACAAATTTTAACCCTGAGTCCTTTTCTGGTTTTTAGTACAGTGTGTTACAACATTTTATATACTTTTTTATTTTCCTTATCAATTTTGGTGCTATTTGCAGGAGATATATATATTTTTTTATCACTGTTACATCTGATATTGAGTGTTAAAAGAAAAAACCGCTTCATGAATTTATCCTTTATATGTTTTCAATATTTATTACAAAATAAAGGTTATTATTGTTTTTTAGAACAAATAGTGGGTTTATTGGACTTTTTTTAGGGGGAAACACTGAATTGTCAAAGATTAGCAGTATAACGTTTTTTTTTGTTTTGTTTTTTGTCGCATCAGTATTCCTGGTATCGTGTCAGAAACTTACACTCAACACCGTCATGGCCATACAAGTCTGATAGGTTTCCATTCGGATCACATTTTTTTCTATCCAAGACTCACCAAGAATAAAACCATGAATTTTATAATGTTAGCTTCTCATTGTGTAGAAGAATAGTGATATTTATCGTTTAAGGCTTTGTTTATGGGCAATTGAACAAAAAAAAATGTGTGGTTGTATTATAACGTGACAAAATTCAAGAATATTACTGCAAGGCACTATAAAATGTTTAAGATCACAGATAAATCGGAGTGATTTGCTCCTGAAGATCTTCCTTTGAATGTTTTAAGAGGCCATGTGTGTTTTGTTGATTTACCTTAAAGTTTTAAACCAACCTTCAGGCTTGAGTAATGGCTGTTTGTCTGATAGTGTTTATGATCTGCATGGAGATAAGGACTTCACACGGACAGAGTTCTTAGGTGTGAGGAACTGAGATAAATGATATGAATAGATCTGCAAAGAGGCGACAAATAAATGCAAGAGTTTAAGACAAAGGAAGCTTTCTCATATTCCCTTGTTGGATTTATAGAGTAGGGGCAAGAGAGTCCCACGGGCTGGGTCCATCCTGTGTGTGTTTGGACAAGAAAGAGAGCAGAGAAGGTCAGTAGGGCCACGTGGCTCCTCTGACTGTTGTTATTGCACAAGAGAGAAAGAAACGAGTTGGGGGGCAACTTGGTTCTCCCCTGGAAGGGTTTTTTTCTAATCAACAAAGCATTATTGATATTTAAATCTCACAATCAGGTCAATCGGTACATGCTGTCGGAGAGGAGTAATAAACATTGCTTCATTTTCTGGGAGAAAAATAAGTAAAACCCAATTTAACCGAAAGTAGCCCCTCCCCCTCAACACACATTAGGAACGTGGATGTCCCTGCACAACATAGGCAGCATGTTAAAGGTCAAAACCATCAGTATGTTCAAATAGAGGGGCACGTCAGAGGCACTCACCGGTCTGTAGCTCGGACCACAGCTCCCCTGTTCCACTCTCCACCAAAAAGGTCCTGCTGTGTCTGGATCGTCTCAGCTGCTCCCTCGCTGCAACAAACAGGTCATCGATTTTAAAGGCTCGAGGTTAAAAGGTTGCTTTGAGCTGGACAACAAAGCTGCTATGGAAACAAAAGCTACTTCTTAGTTTGTTAGGATAAGAAACTATAAGCAGTCAACAGAGTATAGATTGTTTATTTAGGATATATGCATACTAAAAAGGTACATCACTTCCTTTTTAAGATTGTTTTCCTTGTAAGATTGGTTCTAATGTGGTCATTTTCTTTCATCAAGCTTTATGTAATAGTTTGCTGGAATTTGAGCCCATTCCTTGACAGAACAGCTGTAACTAAGTCATGTTTGCTTGGCCTCTGGTCTTCTAAGAGACTGAGAATGTTGCTTTGTGACGGCCAAATAAACAAATGACTTCATCGCTTTAAAGTCCCCTTTTTAACTGGTTTGGTGGAATGCGGTCCATTTAGTAGACCGGTTTGTGCCAAAGCGTTTGGGCTGTCTTCAAACTTTCCCATAACAATTATTATTGGTGATACAGTCTTATTCGTAAAGTGCACCATTCCCTCCTGCAGCAACACAAACCCAAGACATGTTGCTACCACCCCTGTACATTACAGTTAGGAGGTGGTAGCTATGAATGTTTCCCTTTTTCTTTTTAGTGAAGCTGTTTATGAAAAAACACTTGGATGATAGTTTCTTTATTTCAAAGATCATACTTTAAAAATGTAAATTATTTGTCTCAACATCAATTTACAAATTGTAATCTATATTTTATGTTACTTTTGGAGTAAAGGCTTCTTCCTCTTTGAGCAGCTCTTCCGTCTAATGTCATTAGAAAGACCAAATTAACTGTGGTAAATGATAATCTGTTTCTAGCTTTCACCAACCCCTTCACATGGTCCTCTGGTTTTGTTCTGGGCTTGATTCACACATCTCACATCAAAGTTTTCATCTTCTAGTATCTGAAAAATCTACGCAAGGAGGAAGCAGACTTGATCTATTAGGGTTTTTCCTCAAAGGGGAAATATGTATTTATATATTTATATGGGAAGCACTCTAAAAAGTTTCTCAGGGTCTTTGCAAGAAGATCAGACCAATGGCATGACGGATCGTCTACCAAACTAAACCAAATAATTTTCACACATTTAAACACATTTTACTTCTGTAACATTTTGTCAGATTGTAATATGTTTAATTTTTCATTGTCTTTTATCTCCTATTCCTTTAAAATTAGTTGTAAATAATTAAACACTGCTGTTATTCTTAGAAATAATGTTGATGCACATGTAACGCCCTGGTGCACCTTGCACTTTGCTTTGTTTCACATCTTGGCCAGGACGTCCTTGTGAAAGAAATACAAAAAAAATCAATGGATCTTTCTTTTCTGGTAAAATAAAGGTAAAATAAATGAAAAATTGCATTGATCCCCTAGAAACCCTAATAAGCTTAAAAACATACATTTTAAACTAAAATTATGTTCCAGTAAAGGTACTTAATCTTTTAACTGAACTCAACTTTATAGATAAAGCTGCCACAAAATGCTGTACATTCAATCCAGTTCAAATTCAAAAATACCTAATTAATGTCAAAGGGAAATTAAGTGTTGCAGTAACTCATAAGTTACTAATATACCAAGTAAAGTTAAAATTGTATAAAAACAACATAGAAATTTAAAGGAATAAAACAATTTAATACAATTAATTAATTAAAACAAATAAAAACATGAAAACAACTAAAACTAAAACACAAAAACAGATCTAGTTTCATGCTGTGTAAAAAAAAACAAAGAATAAAAATATTTTTTTTTTTCTAAGGCATATTTAGAAAGGGGGGATTGATAAGGGGTAAACTGACTATGAAGATAAAAAATCTTTCAATCATAACTTTTTACCTTGGATTTTTTTTTGTCCAGTCAACAGATATTCTTCTGATTAAAGACTTTTGTTCCTAAAATCAAAAGAATAATTTGTTTTGAACTCTTTCCACATCCTTACAGAAGTTGCCTTCACTCATCCGTAGAGGATATATGGTTTGGTAAAAACACATATTCCTATATTCCTTTTTCTGAAGTCCAGACTGAGTAGCATTGCGTCATTTTGTCATGACAAGCTCTACATCTCCATCATAGGAGTTTTTAGCCTATGTTTGGGCGTACTGAAGCGACCCTAATTTGAATCAAAGCACCCCTAAAAAAGGGGTGAACATCCTCCATTATACCTTTAGTTGTTTTTTCTTTTAATTGTATGCGCTTTTTACAATAAAAGAAAAAGTGACATTGTGAAAACTATACAGTACTTGGTTATTTAACCCCTTCAATTCTGTTCTGGTTCATCAGAAATAATAATAAATAAACAACAAAAAAAAAACAAATAAACAAGCCTGATGGAGGGTTAAGATTAACCCTTTACAAAAATGTTGACCAACGCTTTGAGGGTAACGCTGCATTCAGGTGTTTCTGAAATGTTCAGTCAGATTTCTGCACCTATTGATGGTGTATTGGTGAAATATTCATCAGGGAGGTGCTCTAATGTGTCTGAGATTGGTTTGTTTGATTATCTTTAAAGCCACAACTCAATATCAATATTTGAATTAACTGAATCATTAGTAAATCCTTATAATTTGAACTTGAACTAATTTTATGAATGTCAGTCTAAAGGTGGAGCAGAGGAGCAAGGTGTGCACAAAGTGAAAGGTCAGGAAAAACCAGGAAAGACAACAGACAGAATAGCAACAGTTGTTAAACTGGCAAAGAAAAACATTTCATTCAGTAGATTATTTTACATAAATCATGGAAGTAATGTTGGCACACAAAAGAGAAAACTAATTTCATGAAAACTGATTCAAAAGTTTCCATGAAAATAGTTGATTTACTGTTAAAGCTTCTTGCTTTGCTTTTTGGGTTTTTGGCACAAGTCTCGGATATGAAGCATTAGTGAATGATTGAGTAAATATTAGCAAAACTCACTTAACAAGTTTCAAAAATATGTTTATAAAACAGTGAAATTAATCTTGTCTGGTCAGACAGCTCTCTGGGTGCTCAGCACCCCTAAACCTCAGGTCCTAGAATCGCTCCTTATCTCTATCTTAACATTTTGTTCCACCCATTAACAAGGTGCTTTTGTGGAGAAAACTCACATATCTGCAAGTTTAGTAGTAATAATAACATAAAGTTTGATGTCAGTCAGGTTGCTTGAAGCTTAAAGATCTTCAGGAGATCCAAACTCCTCATATGATCAGAATTACTTAAACAAGATCTGACCTGTGCATCATAATTGTAGAAGAATTTAAACAGAAGTTGCTGCATATTTTAAGGTGCACACAGATTTCGAAATTATGGCTCAAATGTGTTTGATTTTATGACCTCTTTAATCAAACAGCCTAACTTTATCGGCTTCATGGACACCTGGAAGTAGTCATCATCACCCTCCAGTGCCTCACTCAGCTTCTTTGGCTGTCAAACCTTTTTTTTTTTTTGTGTAAACACACTTAGAGTAAAATCACTGAAGACGAAAGCAGCTCAGTCAAAAACATAAACACAGCCCACTTCAATCTACATGTAAAGCATAAACAAGTCACAAAGCCGGAGACCTCTTTACACATGTGCTTGAACCAAACCTAAAAATTTAGATCCAAGTAAAACAGCACCGGCGTGAGGTTTTGGAAACGGCCTTGCTCAGGTTTCAATTTCTTTGTTTGCTGTGGTGACTGGTGGGTCGACCAAGGGCCAACGAAAGCAAGAGCATGTTCAAACGTAGCTGGAGGAGGCGAGATGTGCCACTTTCATACTTATATTCGGCCCTCCAAAATTAATTAATACACATAAAAGAAATGGTATGGTGATTAGTTGTTAATTTTGAACCCTTGTTTTTGCAGTTTTTAATGATGATGGTATAATTCTGAATTGGTAAAATTCCTTTAACCCTTTAAAACCAATTGTATCATATTTGATACATGAGTTTTTCAGGACTTTGCATCATCAGTGCTGATCTTAAAAACCCGACTTACACAATCAGACACATGTAATGAACAGAAAACCTATATAATATTCTACAGAAATGCCTAATGTATCAAAATTGATGCAAATAAATGATCAAATTTGACTTATACAAAATATATATATATGTCACAGTCTTGGTTTTCCATTTGTTGTCCTCTGCTGCCCTCTTGTGTCCTCTATCCCTAGCTCTGTTTTCTGCTCTGTCCTCACCTGTTTCTAATCCTCTCGTTAGCCCTCTCTTTGTCTCTGTCCCCTTTAAAAGCCTCCCTCTTCAGTTCCTGTTTGCTGGATCCTCGTCTAACGTCTGTCTGCCTATCTCGTCTCTCCCTGGTTCCTAGAGTTTGGTTTTCCCCTCATGTCTCCTTGGTTCTGGTTCGTTGGTTATTTTTTGTTGGATTTTTGATTCCTGCCTCAGTTCCTGTGAACCTCCTTAAACCCACCTAAATTCACCTCTGCCTACTTGCCTCTGCATTTGGGTCCTCAAACCAACACCAAAACCTGACAATATATTCTTTTTTTTTTTTCATTTTTCAGAGAGTTTAATGACAACTCTAAATAAAAAAATTGAATTTTCTGTCAATTATTTCATGGTCCAGGCTTTAAAGGGTTAAACTGGTTTGTTCCCTTGGATGAACCTAGTTTGTGTGTTATAAATAGGGCCGGGCTCAAAGCTACCCAGAAAGCTTAACATTAGCCGTCTAAAGCTAGATTCAATGTAGGTTTTTGGGCTTGTTGTCTAATTGGTTGGAATGTTTCAGAACAACCCATTGGAAATAGATGTTCAAGGTCAGTTCTCTGGATATTAAAGGTATAGAGGAGGATTTTCGTGAATTTTTGAAAAGACCCGTCCTCTCCACTTAAAAAAAAATGCTATGCATCACCCTGTACCAGCTCCTGAGAGGGAACGCCTATTAAACGCATGTGAGAGAGTGCACTAACCCATTTCTCCTCTTGAACGCTCCGTTTAAAAGTTACTGTTTGCATCTCTCAAACAAGCTTACTTTCCAGAAGAAGATTTGCAATTTTTCCACTATGTCAG